CCATTTTTGTGACACCTTTTTCACTCCTTTGCAGGCTACCCAGCAGATCTCCATAATAGCTGCGCGGTACCATGGATCTAGGATGGACCTCCAGCGGGCCCGAGAGTAGAAGGAAGAAGCGGAGGGAGCTCTCGCCAGAGCTATGGAGGACGTGGCCGCCAGGGATTCTACCCTGGCGGGGCAGGCTGCTCAGATCGAACAACTCCTCAAGGATGCTGAGTCGGCTAAGGTTGGCGCTGAAAAGCTAAGTGCTGCCCTTGCCGATGTTGAGGGGAGGATTACCGAGCAGACACGGCGGCTTTCTGCCGCGGAGGAGAGGGCGGTTGGCTCAGAGGAAAGCTGTCTGGCTCTCACCCAGGAGCTGGACAGAATCAGAGCCGAGGCACTAAACAGAAAATCGGAGGAGCAACTGCAGGAAGAGTTCGCCGATGACGTGCTCCCTGCTCTTGAGGAAAACAGCAAGGAGTTCTTCAAGAAAGGGTGGGATGAGGCGCTCCAGTCTGCTGGAATCCCGTCAGACTCCCCGCTCTTCTAGATACACAAGTACGTGCCCTCGGCAGAGATGGCACGGGCCGAAGCAGAGATTGCTGCCGAGGATGAGGTCCCAACGCCGGTGCAAGTCTCGGCGGATCTGCCCGAGGCAGTGATAGTGGATTTGTCCGAGGACGCCCCGCCGGACCATGCTCCTGATCCTCAAGTTGCCCAAGGTCTCCCTGTTGCCGAAGTACCTCTCCTGCCTGCTCCAGAAGCTTCTCAACCTTTTTTTGCTGACTCGCCCTCGGCTGATGTTCTGGAGATGCCCGGAGCCAGATGAAAGCCCCTTTTTCTTTTTGATTGTACCCCTTTTATTTTCTTTTGTAGCCTTTGGGGACGCAAAGCTCCTTCTTCTTGAAATAAATCATGAGTACTTTTTCCTTTTTTGCGCACAGTAGTGTTTTTTTTTTTTTTTTTTTTTTTGAACTGTCTTCGGGGCTGCTCGCCCATTCAAGAGGCATGCTCTTGTGTTTGCTTCGGGGACAGGAGTCCTTGAACTCTGTCCCCAGGGCCTTGCCCTTCCAGGAGGCTTGCTCCTGTATTTACTTCGGGGACAGGAGCCCTTGAACTCTGTCTCCAGGGCCTTACCCTTCCAAGAGGATTGCTCCTGTATATACTTCGGGGACAAGAGTCCTTGAACTCTGTCCCCAGGGCCTTGCCCTTGCAGGAGGCTTGCTCCTGTATTTGCTTCGGGGACAGGAGTCCTTGAACTCTGTCCCTAGGGCCTTGCCCTTTATCTTTGTCGTTGGCAAGCACTTCAGGGAGAGAATACTTCAAAAGTAATATTTTTTTAAATTCATAACATTCCATGGTCGCATTACAAGTTTCCCATCCATGCCTTCTAATCTGTACGACCCGGTGCCCCCAATTGATATCACTTTGTAAGGGCCTTCCCAGTTAGGTCCCATTTTTCCCTCTGTTGGATCACGGGTATTGGCCGTCACCCTTCTGAGGACCAGATCGCCTATTTGGAATTCTCGCGCCTTGACCCTTCTGTTGTATAGTTGAAAAATCTTCTCCTGATACTTAGTTATCCTCAAGGCGGCTGCCTCCCTTCTTTCTTCCACTAGATCCAAATCCAATCCCAGTTGACGGTCATTCCCCCCTTCGTCGAAAGCTTGGGTCCTTATGGTCGGGAGCCCTACTTCGAGGGGTATGATTGCCTCCATTCTGTATGCCAGGGAGTATGGGGTTTTCCCTGTCGAGGACCGAAGGGTGGTCCTGTACACCCACAAAATGTTTAATAGTTCTTCCGCCCATTTTCCCTTGGTTTTCTCCAACCTCTTCTTGATCCCATTGATAATTGTCTTGTTGGAGGCCTCTGTCTGCCCGTTGGCTTGAGGGTAGGCAGGGGTGGAGTAGAAATTACGGATCCCGAGTTGCTCACAGAAAGACTTGAAGCGCCCGCCGGTGAATTGAGTCCCGTTATCCGACACCAGTGCCCGGGGAATCTAAAACCTGATGATTATGTTCTCCCAGATGAACTTTTTGGCATCTATGTCGCGGATATGAGTCAACGGCTCCGTCTCTACCCACTTGGTGAAGTAATTTGTGGCCACAATGAGGAACTTCCTATTTCTCAGAGCCTTAGGCAGGGGTCCAACCAAATCGAGCCCCCACTGGACGAATGGCCAGGGGACATATATGGATGACATCTATGATGTTGTCCGGCTCCTCGGTCGGGGCAAGGGCTTGTCCCTCTTCTGGCCTGGGCTCTATGTACTCTTTCAAATATCCGTCTCGGACCAATCTTTCCAAGAATGATTTGAACACCCTGCAGCTTTCGGTGCGATGCCCGAAATCCCGGTGATAGGAACACCTAACCTTTTGATCACGGGTGGAGGGGTCGCTCTGCATCCTAGGCGGCCATTTGAAGAACGGCTCGTGCTTGATTTTATGGAGCAACTTGAAGATGGGTTCCTTGAACACAGTGTGAACTCCTTTGGACGAACCCCCTGGAGGGGGTAGCAATCCCTTTCGGGGAATATCTTCCCGCTCCTTCTCTTTTCTTTTAGATTGGAGGGCTCGGCCTTTGCTGCTTCCCATCTCGTCCTCAACCCTCGAGTATTTGTTTATCCGAGCCATTAGTTCCCCCATGTCCGAGGGAGTCTTCTTGGTCAGGGATCGGTACAGGTCCGTGTCCCTTGCCAAGCCGAGCCGGAAAGATGCTGCTGCCATGACCTCCGAGCAGCCTTCTACCTCATTAATCTCTTCCCAGTATCGGATGGCGTACTGGCGAAGAGTCTCGGATTCCCTCCGTCTGAGGGTCAGCAATGATCCAATGTCTTTGGGGCGCTTACTCCCCGTAATGAATCGAGCCAGGAACTGCTTAGTCAATTCCTTCCAGGACCCAATACTGTTAGGGGGAAGCGCCTCGAACCACTTCATCGCAGAGTCCCCCAAGCTCATAGGAAACACTCAACAGAGAAACCGTTGGTCCGAATGATAGAGGGACATCATCTGCTTGTATTGCCTGACATGGGCTTCGGGATCGGACCGTCCGTCATAAGTTTTGAACCGCGGCACGACAAACTTTCTTGAAACCTCCATCTCACTGATCTCCCTCGTAAAGGGTGTTTGTATGACTTCGTTCTCGGCCTCATCCTGGACAGTCTTACCCTTTCTCCTTGAGTCTAACTGGGCTCTGAGGTCAATTTCTTCCCTGACGGGATGCCTTCTGAAGTCCTTGAGTTCATCGGTAAGCCCCTCATTTCCTGGGCGTCGTGTGGATTGGGTTGAGTCCTCCTCGGATTCATCTCCCTTCCTCCGTCTAGACAAACCTCGCCGGAGGTCATCCAGGGCCAATGGCCTTGCTTTCCTTGAATGGTTGTCATGATGATGCTCGCCGGCTCTGGGTCGCTTTGGGGCCCTAGAGCTTTCTGCTTTGTTGTTTAGGTGGTTTCTTAGATCCTTCGTTTTCGCTTCCCGGGCGGGAAGCCCACGAGACAGGAATGAATCCCTCGATCCTTCACCAGAGGCGGCAAACTCGTTGAGCCGGCTTAGGACGTTTACATTGTCCTTTTCCAGCTGACGTAATCTATCGCCAAACTTTTCTTCAATCACCTCCGCCAGCTGACAAGCCAAGGGGGCTGATCCCCCTGACCTGATTCCCATACTGGTTTGAGGGGTAACCCCTCTTGACCGAGTAGATGCACTTTTATTCGTATTGGTGTGATTCCTTCCTCTGTGATGACAGGGAGCTTGTAACTCGAGACTCCTTTGGTGGGGTCCTTTCCCTTTCTGTCGAGTGTTCACCATGGTCACTGTTCTTTATAGAGAAAAAAACTAAGAAAATTAGTCGTTTCCCACAGACGGCGCCAGATTGTGCGTGCAAGATCCTGCACAATATAAAAAATGAGAACAGATCTCTCCCTTGGTGAACTCGAGTGAGCAGGTTGAGTGACCAACCACGCTGCTTGGAACAGCCTGCGAGATCCGGTGATAACCTGGAACGACGACGGGAGACCCTGGGGGAGCAGAAGAACGATCCAGTAAGGCTGAAAGAGGTTCCTGGAACAAAAAAAAACAAGTTAGAAGGGCGCCGGAGTGTTTTCCGACGTATCCCCTCCGACGATCTAGTCAGTCTTTTAGAAAGAGAGAGGAAGGAGAAAACACTGAGTATGTATTGTAGTAAAGAGTTTTTTTTTGCATACCCGTCTTGCCTTTTGCAAGGAGTATTTATACCTCAAAAGCTCATGATTGCTGTCAGTGTAATCAATAGGTGATCATTAGGTACAGGCAGTGTGCGCACTGATTCTGATGAGGAATGTCTTCTCTTCTTAACTGCTCGGGGTCCCGAGCAATCAATGCTGGGTCATCGGGATGCCGACGGTACAATGTACTCCTCTCGGGGAGGATGCAATAAATGCTCTGTATTAGGAGCATTTATTGCCTTTCATTTCCGAGCCTTACCGCATTGAATGCGGTCTCATCAAGGGAATGGTGTAATTAATAGTTTGCTTTCCCAAGTCGCGTGTCAGCAACGACATGCGATTTCTCTGTCTTCGATGTGATATCATATGCCACGCGTCCATCCCTCATTGGTTGTGGCCCCTGCATTCCAGTACGTTCTGACACTAATTGTGTAAGACGGGATCATGATGAATAGCCTAGGCTAATGACCTGTACGTCAATAGCTTATCCTGGAGTAGAGGAGGCGTCTAGGACGGTACACCTCGACACCGAGGAGAGGCTGATCTCGGAACCGAGGGAGGGGATACCGACCGAGGTACCATATCAGACCGAGGCCACGTGTCGGTTGTAAAACATACTGAATGCATGATCCTATATTACGAGTACCTCGGGGCGAGGACATTTGTGCGCCGATGGTGCTTGATCTTAACAACAGTGTTTTAGTAATACCGAGGACACGTGTCTTCATCATAGAGTATTTCAGAAAAGTCCCATCAATTTTGATACAATTTTATTTCTGGATTCATGTGATATGACTTCCAAGGGGGTGTTGTATGAAGGAAGTTGCTCTGAAGATAGCGGATAGTTTCCAGAAATATGAGGCAGTTGAAATTTGGGCCACTATTGACGGTGGTCTGAAATTTTTCCGAATGGAGGTAAGAATTAATATTCTGGAACCTTTAAGGTGTGGAATTATGTTTCGGAGTCCAAGGGTGAAAAGAGTTCTGCTATATTCTTGTATGAACGACTGCCACATTTGTGTTTTTGGTGTGGTCGTTTGGATCTGTTGTGATCATGCAGCAATTATGGTGAATAGTAAGGAATCAAACAATTAAGAAAACAGGAGAAAATAACACACAGAGATTTACGTGGTTCGACAATGTGCCTACATTCACGAGAGCGAGCGGCCGTTCTTTTCCATGATTGAAGTAGGGCTACATCTTAAGTATTTATATAACCCTAATATGGACGTATTTACAAAAATACCCCTGTACACAGTAAATATGAGCTGCAAATATGAGCCACAAAAATACCCCTGTACACAGGCAGATGCCGTCGCGGGCTCCACTACGCTACGTTCCGCTTCGCTCCACTCCGCTACGCTCCGCCCGCTCTAGCATCTGCCTCCTTGCCATTATGCACACAGCAAATATGAGTCACACATACTCTAACAGGATCATATTTCAAAACATGTTCTGAAAATCATAATACAGTTGACGGATTGGATGTTAGCAATGAGTTTGGTCCTTGGCTTAATGCAACTGTTATGAAATCTCTTATTCTGATCAAGTGTGATATTCCGGTGGTTGGGTGAATATTTCTCCGGCGGAAGCAGTTAAGGATCCAACTGATGTTCGGTTAGAGTATAAGTAGTTATCAAAGGAGGAATCTATAACTACCCCTATTTCTTCGGTGCTTCTAGTTTCAAAGTTTACTCTGGCAAATCAAAGTGAGTACGGTTCAGATTGGAATGTACATTTGGATTCGGATTTGGCCTCAGTTGTTCAGATTGACAAGGCTGCTTATATTAAACCCATAGACCAAATCCATTCTTATTTAGATGAGTCCATACATCGTGGCCCAGCTATTTTAGATTTGGATGTTAAAGAGGCTGATTTCCTTTTTGAAGTGGGTGTAATAGTAGAATCCAACCCATCACTTGCTGGTTCTTGTTTCCAGAAGAGTTCCCTTAATGAAACACAAAGTCCATTCTCTAACTTTCATAGATGTCCTAATCAGTCTACAGAGGTTGAATCTAATATCGTTCCTCGTCGGCGTTTCTCTCGGGTAGAAAAAGGGAAATCGATTAGGGATTATAAACCCACTCCAAGGGATCCAAATTGGTCCATTCAAGAAGCCATCTGTGGTGAGAAGCGGAGTTACAAGGGCAAGGGGGATGCAGGAATTCAACGGAAATGGGATTCGTTTGAGCAGGTCCTGAGTATTCGAATTAGAACAGCTTAAACCGAAGAAGAAAAAGGTTTGCGCTAAACTTGAGGATAGTTTGAAGAAGAATAAGGGATATTCAGAAAAGGAGGTTAGTTCGAAGTTTTTAGATGGATTCACCAAAGATGTACATCCAACATCTTTGTCGGCGGAGACTGTTTTTCAGTCCTACCGGTCGCCATGATTGGTGTTATATGGAATTGTCGAGGGCTTGGGAACCCTCAGACAGTTCGTGCTCTTCACCATCTAGTGAAGACGGAAACCCCCAAATTTGTTTTTTTAATGGAAACCAAAATAGATTCCAGACGTTTCCAATGGATTCAACAGCAATTGGTTTATCGCAAAGTATCATAGTGGATGAAAGATGACAGGCTGGGGGTCTAGCTTTGTTATGGAAGCGAGACTTTTTGATAAGTGTTAAAAGTTTTTCGGATTTTCATATTGAAGCAATTATAAATGAAGGGGATGAGGGACAGTGGAGATTTATTGGATTTTATGGCCATCCAAACACTAGCCAGCGTAAACATTCATGGGATTTGTTGTCTAAATTGCATAATATATTTGAAATGCCTTGGGTTTGTGGAGGAGATTTTAATGAAATTCTGGATGCTACTGAAAAATCTGGGGGACAAGATCGAGCACTATGGCAAATGAGGGACTATAGAAGAATTATGAATGACTGTGATTTATTGGATTTGGGTTTTCAAGGAAGTCCTTATACTTGGTGTAATGGTTCCTTAGCTCCAGTTACTGTGAAAGAAAGATTAGGTAGAGTTTGGGTTTCAACATCTTGGTTTCGTAGTCATATGGGTAGCTCTATTACTCATATAGCTACAACTACTTCGGATCATTGTCAATTACTTTTGAGAGTCCGGGATTCTTTGAGTGGTACACAGTATTGGAGCAAAAATAAAAGGTTTCGATTTGAGCCCATGTGGTTGCTAGATAATTCTTGTCGACAAGTCATAGACAATTGTTGGAACAATGCTATTGTATCATCTAATGGAATTATGTTGTTGGACAGATTATGGCCCTATCGCCTGGGTCTATTACAATGGAATAGGCGAAAATTTGACAATATTCAGAGAAGGTTGAAGGATAATAACCATCGTATTTAAGTAGTGTAATCAGGATTAATAACAGAGGAAGTTAGAGATGAATTGCGAGAACTTCATGCTGCAAATCAAATGCTTTTGGAAGCTGAGGAAATTAAATGGAATCAAAGATCAAAAGAATTGTGGTTGAAGGAAGGGGATAGAAACACAAAGTTTTTTTAATGTGTGTGCAAGTCTAAGAAGGCAAAAAAATGAAATCAAAGGTCTACGTGACCAGAATGGAATTTGGTGTACAAGCAGAGAACAATTGGAGAAAATTTATGTGCAATATTTTCAAAATTTGTTTACATCTTCTTCTCCAAGCGAGGTGGATTTGTTCGAAGTATTACAAATTTTACCCCAAAGGATTTCTCAGTCCATGAATTAGTCCCTCATGCAACCTTTCAGTGGGGAGGAGGTGGAGATAGTTATCAAGCAATTTCATCCATCTATAGCTCCCGGTCCCGAATGGTATGGGTTTAATCTTTTATTAGAACTTTTAGGATATAATTGGCAATCAAGTAACTGAGTTGGTGTTGAATTTTTTAAATCATGAAATTTTCTGTCATTAGATTAACTACACTCATATTGTTTTAATCCCTAAGATTATTGACCCACAGGAGATGTCTCAGTTTTGTCCAATAAGTCTGTGCAATGTTATTTATAAGATAATATCCAAGGTTCTTGCTAATTGTTTAAGACGTCTTCTTCCGGATATTATCCCTATATTTCAAAGTGCATTTGTGCTTGGAAGGTTCATAACATATAATGTTTTGGTTGCGTTTGAATTGAATCACCATATGAAGAGGAAGAGAGCTGGGAGCAATGGATTTATGTCTTTGAAATTGGATATGAGCAAAGCTTATGATTGTGTAGAGTAGACCTTTCTAGAAGCCATTATGCACAGGATGGGATTTGATGCTAGGTGGATTAAATTGAACACGACTTGTATTACTACAGTTTCATATTTGGTTATACATAATGGAGAGCAGCCGGGATTTTTCCACCCAAAAAGGAGTTTGTGTCAAGGTTATCCATTATCAGCTTATCTTTTCCTGTTATGCTATGAAGGTCTTACTGCTTTACTTCAAAGAGAAGCAGAGATGGGAGGTATACCAGGTCTTGCAGTTGGTCGCGGTGCTCCAAGTTTTACACATCTTTTATTTGCAGATTATAGTCTATTTTATGCGAGAGCCAACAGATCAAATGGCCAGCAGATTAGCAAATGTTTGAAGATTTATGAGAAGGTGTCTGGTCAAACAATTAATTTTTCTAAATCAGAGGTGGTGTTTTCAGACAATACTTGCCAAGCTGACAGACTTGCTGTGTTGAATGTACTGCCATTGAAAGTTATTGTTAGTCATGAAAAATATTTGGGTCTTCCATCAGTTATAGGAAGGACAAAGAAACAAATGTTTGACGGAATTAAGAAAAGGATCTAGAATAAAGTTCAAGGATGGCAAGGGAAGCTGCTATTGCAGGCTGGTAGGGAAGTGTTAATAAAGGTTGTCGCTCAAGCTATACCTACATATGCTATGTCCTATTTTAAGCTTCTGTCGGGGTTTTGTTCAGAAATAAATCAATTGATGTCTAGCTTTTGGTGGAGTCATAATTCCGAAGCTAAGTAGATCCATTGGTTGTCCTGGCAGAAATTATGTTTACCAAAATCAAGAGGGGGTATGGGTTTTTGTGATGTTGAAGCTTTCAATATGTCCTTATTAGCTAAACAATATTGGAGACTACTTCAAAATTCTGAATCATTACTCTTTAAAGTTCTAAAAGCCAAGTATTTTCTTTCTTCTTCTTTAAGTGCAGGCACCTTGGGGTTTAACCCATCTTACTCCTGGCGTAGCATACTATCTTCTAGACAGTTGGTTGAAGTTGGATTAAGATGGAGGGTTGAAAATGGTAGAAGCATCAATGTGAAGTTTGATTGGTGGATTCCAAGACCAAATACTTTCAGAATTATTACCAAACTGCCAAACCTTGGGGATGATATTAAGTTTAGCCATTTTATTGATATTATTACCCGAAGTTGGAATGTACAATTGATCAAACAATGGTTCTTGGATTTCGAGGTACAAGATATTCTGTCCATTCCAATTTGTCCATCGCTACCAGAGGATAGATTAATATGGAATTTTAATAAGTTTGGGAATTTTTCAGTTCGCAGTGCTTATCATTTAGCCATTGAGAAAAATCTGTTTAGATATCCTGTTGATGCTGCCTCTTTAAGTAATGCAATGGATCGATGACCTGGTTTGTTCCTCTGGTCGCTTTCTGTGCCTAACAAGGTCAAAAAATTCCTTTGGCGATTATTTATTGATATTTTTCCTGCCTTGTGCAATTTACAGAGAAGGAGATTGTGGGTTATCAATGAGTGTTTTTTATGTGGTTATCCTTGTGAATCTTCTTTCCATTTGTTTGTTACTTGCCCTTTTGCGAAGGCTGTTTGGGACGCTGCTGCAATTCAATTTTCAGTAAAGGGTGTACTGAATATTTAAGACTGGCTTGTATACATCTCTGGGAATGTAACATCTGATGGGGCAGTACTGGTTATTGTTATTACATGGGCTTTATGGTTCAATCGAAATAGGGTTCGTGTTGATCATTGCTCTAGATCTCCGGAGGAAATAGTCCAGTTCTCAAGGGAATATATCCATCATTTTCATGTTGTTAATTGTTCGAGGGGAGGTTCTCCAGTTCCAATTGCTTCTGCGAACAGGACCATATGGACATGGCCCCAAATAGGAGTTTTCAAAGTTAATTTTGATGGGGCTATTTTTCGCTCGTTGCAATGTTCTGGAGTTGGTGTCGTCATTAGGGACTGTCAGGGGAATTTTGTGGTAGTTTTAAGTCAGAAAGTTGAAGGAGTTTTAAGTGCAGCGTCTGTAGAAGCTTTGGCTGCTTCTGTTACTGTGCAATTGGCTGTTGATCTTGGCTATACTAATATTATACTGGAGGGTGATTCTAAGTCTTTCATTGAAGCTTTATCACAAGAGCAAGAGACATTATCTGAAGTGGGTAATTTTATAGATCAAATTAATATGTTGAAGTCTAATTTTCAAGGTTTCTCAGGGTTTCGATAAGTAGGAAAGGAAACATAGTTGCTCATAGTTTACCCAAATTTGTTTTTAACTGTAATACTTCTATTCTGTGGAGGGAAGAAATTATGTCTTTTATATTATCTCATCTCCACAAGGATGTATCATGTGTTGTTCAATAAATATATGAATGTCGTTGTTTCTCAAAAAAAAAAAAATAATACGTTGTTTTCTTACCCAATCAGTTGTAATATTACACAATCAGTGGTATTCTTACCCAAGATTGGTATTTTTACCCTCAGTAAGTTGTATTTTTACCCTCAATAAGTTACATTCTTACCCAAATAATTATAATCTTAACCCCAAAAAAAGTTATATTCTTACCCAATCAGTGGTAACCTTACTCCTCAAAAATGGTTTTCTTACCAAAAAGTTATAATCTTACACCCAAAAAGATTTATTCTAACTCAAATGGTGGTAACCATTTTTCCAAAAGTGATAATCTTACCAAAAAAAGTGGTAGTGCTACACTCAAAATATTGCATTCTTATCCAAATGGTGATAACTATTTTTTCAAAATGGTAATCTTACCCAAAAAAATGATAATCATGCCTGAAAAAGTAGTAATCTTACAAAAAAAAAAAAGTGGTAATATTACATAAAATTGGTATTCTTATTAATCAAACCACAACAACCTCCATAACCTAATAACGACATCCGTAGAGTAATAACATTTATTCCCCCACTATGGATTCATTGTATCTGAAAATATGATAATCTTATTCTAAAAGTTTTTTAAGTGTATTTATTTTTTATTAAATATAAAATTACTATAATCTCAAGCTACTCATTAATTTATAATTTCTTAAATGGTTCTTGG